CCCAGGCAGTTGGCTATCATTCTGCATCCATTCACGCCTCGATGTAACATTCGAACAGTCTAGCACTGGGACAAGTTATGTCAAAGAGTGAAGGCATTCATCGATAAAAGTGGGCCTTCTTAAAACGTATTATCCCTCCTAAAACGGCATTTCTTCGTTACCAAGCGAACGTGTTGCTGTGAAAAGTCTTGACTTACTCTTGTGGTTGTGGATTAATTGATTTATTGATTATTTCGTGTGTGTGAAATTCGAATCCAAGGATCTCCCATCCGAAGGTACTGCAGTGACATGTAGCCATAAGTCCCCTTAGTCGGTAATATTTTTAATGGAGCATCATTTTTCAGTATCGTAAATTCAGAATTATTAGAGACTCAAAGGTAGATGCACATCGCACACAGTGCTTCCCTCTAAGAAAAATATCTCTATTAGTATAAAATTTTAAAAGGACGTGCGCAAAAACGGTTTTTCTGCTAAACAACTACTTTTTTATTATATTTAAATAGCGTTCGAAACATTACGACGCGGGTGCATAATATTTCGAAACGTTTTGCAATTATCTTTCTTATTGACGATGTCTTTGCTTATTATTTACATACAATAAAGATTCGATGTTAACTACAATCCATTTACTTCCTAAAAATAAAATTAAAAAATTAGAGTTTTGCTCATGACATGTCAGAAAAACGTAAATGCAAAACGTGCGCGAGGTAGTGTGTGGCGTATTTCGTGCACTTGTTAATTAACTTACTATTTCGTTATATACATACGCCCAGATTTAAATACAGTGATTTATGAGTTGTAACGTTTGATCAGCTGGAACGTGGTTTTTAAATCGGGAGCTTCAATTACGAACACTTCAGCGGTAACGAAGCAGTCGATTGAATTAAACCGTCCAGCTGACGAGCCGTCTAACTGATAACATATACACTGTATACTGATTTATTATTTAAAATAAGTAACATTGTTTTACAAGACCTTCCAATGTTGTAAGATAGTATATATAATTTCTTTGTGCTAATTTTCTTCTTCCAAAAACCTCTATTTGCATAGTCTGTTAACGTAAGTGTAAGTTAAGTGTCATTTAAATCTTTCGTATTCGTAATTTCTTACTTTTATTTTATCTAAGTTGTATATTTACGACGTCCACTTGATTTTAGGAAGTAGGAAGCGAGTATAAAATACTTTTTTGAAATTATTTCTTCTCCTATTATTTTGACATGACCAAAGAATTTTTAATTGTTTGTACGAGATATAATCTAAAATTTAATATTATTTTTTCATAATTTGTTGAATTGTAATATTACGATTTTCTTCTACGCTGTAAATACGTGCTGCTCTTAAAATTCAGTTCCGCGGCAAAACGTTTCCATTTGAATTTTCTTATCAATTTTCATATTTTTTCAACATTCACTACAATATTTTACAACTAGAGCTCTGTAAATTTGTAATTTATTATTTTCGCAAAATATTTGTATCCGATTATACTTTATTGTTACACTTACGTGGAATAACTCACAGTAGGCTCATTAATACATACTTCATTATGCATGAAAATGTTTCATAAAACCGACAATAATTATGGCCTCGTTTCGTCCCTGCCCGACTTGGCTTGTTTTGCCCTGCGCTTTTACACCGTCCTCCACTGACCGGAATGGAATATACCCGCTTATGGCCCAGCGAGCTGTGCGCGCAGCAACAGTATGTTCGGCGCCCGGGCGGAAGTACGA